ACATCACTGGAAAACAAACAGACAAACAAAAACCACACAAATCAAATCAAAAAAGAATGTTGGTCAGTCTGGGAAAATTTGTCATATTTTAGCAATGAAACAACTTGCTTAGCTACTGAAGCATAATGTGTCAACAAGATGGAATTCCACTTTCTAAAGGTTAGAGTGACCAGCTGATAGAGGAAAGCAATACRTGATTACTGTTTAGAGCTTGAGCACAGTGCTAGCAACTCAACATTTAGCTATAATAGAAAACGTCTGTCTCATGATGTTCTGAAACACTCCTGCTGTGAGTTAGCTTCTCAGTCTCAGCAATTTCTTCAAATATTGCCTTATCCCCAGTAATACATTTCTGGCGATTTTTCTTAAAAGCAAAAATTTAATGATATACAGAACAAGGATAGTTATCTTAAAAGTAATAACAAAGAGGAACCCTTCAATTTTAGTAAAAGTACTAGATAGCAGCTAAATCCTTGTTTTCCATTTTAGTGTTTCTCAAATGACAAAAAGGTCTTGAGGCCTTTTCTTGTCTAAATTATTCCTGTTTTACAAAACCTCAAAGACCCTTATTCTTGTTCTTGTTTTCACTTTCATTCCCATTTAGAATTGGGAATTCAGATTGCCATGCATGCAGTCCTGCTTCATCTGTGACCTTTTAACAATCTGATATAATATCTGTATACATAAAATACTAAGTGTTATATATATTTTTTTTTTCAAAATATCTTGAAAGACTATCTTAGCACCATCCTTATTATACTATATACCTCTTTGTATTGGAAGTATCTTAAAAGGTGTTTGTTCTTTCTTTGCATGCACTCAAAATTTTCCTGCTACTACTGATGCAGAACAAGTCATCATCATTGAACTAAACATTTGTATCTACAACTAACTTCAAAACCAAAGTCTTTTAGGTTCAAACATTTTGGTAAGGTATTATATGTAATACTGTCCCCAAACTATACACAAGACAGATTGAATTTGAACAAAGCAAGTACTTGCTGATGATGACAAGGTATTGTGTTAGACCTGAACTTGATAACACAGAATCCTTCTAACTGCCAGAAGGAAAAATATTTTAGATCTCCTGACTCAGGTACTCTTCTGAACTACTGTGTACCTCCATATGCATGAAATAGCTCTGAAAGAGCATTTCCAATTGCACAAACATGGCACTCCATTCAAGATATATGTTCCTAAAATAAATACTTCACTACATGTGCTTAGTAGGACAAAAAACCGTCAAAACTGACACAATCACCGTTTGGCTAATCAAAACTAACAAAAGTGAGTAACAACCTGTTGTTTGGCAAGTATTTTTCCAAATTATTTAGGGTCCACATATGTATGTATAGTACATTTAATAAAGATAGAGCTGAAGAAGCAGCATGCATGCCAGGAGACACATGAAGAGAAGATAATGAACTACAGAAAAGAGCTCTGCAGACTATTGGAATGGATCTTGCACTTMTCATGCAACTATTTTAGAGTGCTTTCTATTTTATTAAGCTTTCTGAAAAAGGCAATCAATAATTAACGCTATTTTTTTTTCTATAAATACACCGAAATTGCTTTTGGCATATGCTTTCTAAGCTATGAAAGAAGAATGCAAAAATAAATCAATGGGGGAAAAAAAGTGGAAGACTGAAATTGCTTTAGGGATTTTATTCTAATGTAATGCAATGGTCTAGGAATTCTATTAAAAAGGAAGATATAGTATTTATATTTATTGATTTTTCAAAGAAAACTTGCAGGCTGCAGTCTTAAAATTTCACCTGTCCTGGAAGGGAATGCAACTTTCATGAAATCTGAACATTCTTCAGTGGCATTATCCTTACAGAACAATAGATACAGTGTAAAAGAGATGAAATAGTCCCACCTTTTTGTTCCCTTCTTAGGGTTGTAGTATTTTCTGTTTCATTGCAAATGTAGTGCATTAAGGTTGACTTCTCACTTGTGGGTTGCAGTTTCAATTGRGGGGATCAGAATGCAGGTCCACAAAACATTAATTATGGACAATCTGTGCTTGTGGCCATTTAAACTGTAGTCCAGACCTTTCCATAGTTTAGGGTGATCTTTGGACTTCCATAAAAAACTGCACTTGGCCATAGCTATAGCTATATAAACTATACCTCTAAGAGTCAGATCTACTAGCAAGGGATCATTGAAGCAGAGTGTTCCTCTACAAATACATTCTTGTGGCCTATATACACACTGTCCTAGCAAGAAGGAAACTTAGTGTGCAAAGACTGATGGAGGCTCTTTGTGCTCAAGCCCATCTCATCCCATTCCAAGGAAGTTTCTTCTTGAATGGGCCACATGATACAAATGGGCCTGAATCATGGAATCTTTATTTTGTCTCAGTTTTGTCATTGTTGGACGGCCAGCTTAATCTTTACTCTGTATTTCCTTTTTTTTTTTTTTTTTTTTTTTCTCCTCCTTTTCTAAAAATGAATCTGAAAAAGCCTTCCCATTTAATTTTTTTTTTTTTTGAAAACAGATCCTTCCTACTTCCCTTGTTCTACCTCATCAGTTAATAGAAAGCCCCACATAGTTGTTAGATGCTCTTATACTAAAATTCAGAAAAAAATAACCAATTTGCTTTGTGCAGCAGACAGGCATTTGACTAAGAGGTCTTTTGGGTGGAAGCAGATCATCAGGGTTTGATGTAATTTCAGCTATTAGCTCTCTCATCACCTCTGAATTTTACCCCAAGTTAGAAGTTCTAATACTCCAAAAGAGACACTGCCTATCTAAATCATAGCTTATGTCACAGGCACTGATGGAAAATCTCCAGATTCAAACATATGCTGATTCACCTTGCTCTCTTTATATATTTGCTTAGCACCTTCAAAATGGAACTTGCCTCTAACAGAAGCCATACGGTTAAATATTGCAAGGCATCTGAATTTGCAAGGCAAATCCTTGGCTTTCTGACTGGCAGCTGACTGGGTCATTGCTTGTGGATCCCAAAGAGGTCCTTTTCCCTCCGCTGTTCTTCTTCCTGAACTGCATGCCCAGCTGCAGCTCTCTGGTGCTGCAATGCCTGGGACTTTCTTACCCAAAGTGAGCTCCCTCAAGGAGCCTCTGAGGAAAGGAGCAATCTCCTGAGTCTTCCTCAGGATGCCACGGCTCTTGTAAGGTGCAAGTCGCCACATGCAAAATTAAAACAACACCTGCACATCACAACACTGTGTAGTAGATACTGTGAAGATACTGCAAACTCAGTTTTTGCCTTTTTTCCAAGGCAGAAAAAAAAAATTGTTAATGTCCTCAAATCTCGACAGTGAAGTGCATAGACACACACATCTTGTTTGGTCTGGATATACAGCATGCAGTGCTAGCACCCTTACAGTAAACCTGCTGCCACAAACATTCCTTAAGGTTATCATTTTTTCGGGGGGGGAGGGGGAAGAGCTGAAGGCACTTATTTCCACCCTGCTTCATTATGCCTAACTATAAATTCTGAGGAAAGGCCTGAATGTTACCCAAATTTGGCTTGCGGAGCAGTCTAATGATCCTCATTTCAGCCCAAGTTAATTGTACACTCTGTTGTTCAAGATATCACATAACCCAACCCAAAAGGTAAATTCAAACTTAAAACTAAAGATCTGGTCACTGGAAAGCACAGCACAGACTCCACAGAAGGAAACAGAACAGTTTGCTAAACTAGGCAATACATCAACCCTTTATGCTATGTACACTTTATTTACAGTGTAATTCCAGAGTCAAAATGATGATGAATGAAGTTGCAAAATGCAGTTGGATTTTCATCATTTCAAGGCAAAGAACAGGCTAAAAATTATTTGTGATTTTATCTTTTTTAACCAATTCCCAAAAGTTAATTTGGAGGCATTTCTTTTCGTTTACTCAGGCTTGTTTATCATTACCTTCCCACCTTCTTCTTTTATTTTATAGCCCTCTGTCTGCTCAATGAGTCTAGGGAATAGTGTATTTTACATGCACCACTGCATGGACAGATAGGAATTTTTACCAAGGTTGACAGATGCTAACCTACTCATAGAAGACAAGTTACTGCAACTTCCTAGTTCAGTAGAGCATTATTCTTCCATGATACAGTTTGAGTAGCACCAAAACTGTAGTAAAAAGTGCATTTTCCACCAAGAAAGACAGCAAGAAGAACATGATAATATTTTATGAATATAAATATTTTCACTTTGCTCATAGCCTGCATGGAATTTGGAATAATATCAAACAGAAGGAGTTTCTTAATACAAAAGTCAGTTAGTTACTCTGATCAAACAAATAGTAGAATCTTTTTTATATAGCTTTATTTCCATGCATTACTATTGTCCTTGTATCTTCTTTCTTTTAAAGTACCTGTTAGTTCTACTGCCAAAATAATCACTGATCCACACGATTTGACCTCTTACCAAAAATGTTTCCAAGTGTCACCTGTTTTTGTTTTCCAAAAACACACCATTAATTGTGCATGCCCTCTGCTGCAAAGCAGTTCTTATGAGAAAATAAAAACATTTCTATCTCTTCATCACATATCTTAAAATACATAAGCAACATCACCGCAATATCATTGAATTGTCGTATTCTCTCTCTCGTCCCTTTTTTCTCCTTATCTATAAAGATAAGWGGTGTTAATATAGTAATGAATGGGTTTCTCCAGATGTTGTTCGGTTTTGCTGAGTGCTGGGAGAAAAAAAGGCCAAGTGCTTTTGGCATGTCATCTGCACAGTTCAACTTGGAGCTCCACTTAGGTCAGCAACTTCTTAAAGCAATTAAGGCAAGGAATTCTGGGATGGACATAATCTACATGATGAAACCGTCATTTCTAAGCTATGGCATTGTATCTTTTTGTTTTTTTACAGGAAACTACAACATCTCACTCTGGTATGAATGGCAACGTGGACTCACAAAACGAGAAAGGAAAATGAGAAAGGAAAATGTGAATTTTTTTTTCCCGCCACTTCTTAAGTCATACAGCAAGTTTCCCGCAGAGCTAGTTGGAAAATGTTTGTTCTTACCCCACAGCCAAATCCATTGTTGGGTTCACAGACAATTTTCCTCACTCCAGGTTCAGGAAGCAAGCCGGCTCCGCAGCCGGGAGTGGGGCACAGCACTCCCCCCATCTGCAGCAGGCACTCCTCGGCCCCATAGCGCTGGTAGCGGTTGTACTGCAACACAACAGAGGCATGTTACAAYGCCAGGAGCACACAAAAAAGCTTCATAAACTTGGAGCCTGAACCTATCCCACACAACAGAGGCAGCTCTTTTAACTTCAGGTTTCTTGTCAGGTATTTAGGACTTCTTGGCATTGCAGCAGAAGGGGAATGGGTCCAATACTGTGCTCCAAGTTGCAGGCASCCTCCCAAACACAGCTACCATTCTCAACACCAGAAAATCATGAGTGATATTGAAAGGAAGGAAACAGCAGACCCCTCCTATAAATAACCTCAAGCATCCTTATATAGTTATTAAGTAATAGTATAGTTATTAAGTAATTACTGCAAATGTATAAAATAATGTCCAAAACCAGAAAGCGATGGATGCTGTGTATGAATAGAGAAGAACTCCCACAATCTTCCAAAGGAACTACAATATCTGGAAATACAGTATAACTTTGTATAGCTCAAGTGTCATCAAAATTGCTCAGTAAACTTTCTTCTCAAATTTCATGAAAACTGACCAGTGGGATATTTCTTTCAGATACATTTATTTTAAATGTTTTATTTTGCTGTGTCTCTCAAGAAAAGAAATAAATATTATTATAAATTATTTTGAATTATTAGGCGGTGCCATCTCCAAGCCTAAAAGGCTATGGAAATGCCCCTACTTTCTGGTGGAGACACTGAGATATGAGAATATTTAATAACACGTTCAAATTCGCAAAGGAAAATTGTGCTAAAGTGAAAAGGAAAATATAGATCTCAAGAAAAAAAATGCGTTTTTAACTCCCAGTGAATCCTCAGTACACAAACTCTACTCTAAAATGATTGATGCAACTCCAATAACCTTCCCTGGTCTAATTTACCCTGCTTTCAAGCTGAGATTAGCTGAGCATGTGCAAATCATGCTGTGTACATGTAAATCGTACACTGCATCATGCGCTCTAGGTGCAGTATTAGGGGAGTTCCACACTAGTGGCTATACGGCCACTGTAAAGCGGGCTTTACATTCCCTTATAAATTGATCTGCTGTAGAGTGAAATAAATAAAAGCATATGGTCCAAACAGCCCCATAGAACAGAAAGGGAAAATCCAAAAGGCCAGAGAAGAAGGGAATTGTATGAATTTTCTTTGAGGGAGACGAACGATGTTGTGGTGTGAGAAAACAATAAAAGCTTTATGGTTCAGCAGTCACAACGGTGTTTACTACTTCCTAAGTTTTTATCTCATAAGCCTATATATATATTTTTGAAAACAACTAAAAATATTCTTTCCAACTCCTAGCCACCTTTGAAGGAATTTAATGAGGAAAACTGAAGMAACGGAACCAAAACTTCACACACAAAACGCACACATAGAAAATTTGAATTACAAAGACACTCCATATTTTGCAGGTATATTGAAGAAGATCATTTTGGAAATGTTGCCATAGCATGCCTTATTATAGTGTTCTTTTCTTTTTCAAATAATATGTGAATTTTCAAAATAGTGTAGTATGCAGAGAGAGATACAGTATAATATAGAGACCTAAAAGTGTTGCATTTCATAAAGAAAAAAAAAACCTAAACTTAAAGTATCAAACATATTTCTAAGAAAAAAAATTCAGACAAACCCATTTTTGAAAGAAAAGTAAAACCTGAAGGGAGAGAAAGCCTTCAAAATAACACTCCCTGCATGAAAGACAGCCAGAAATTGTGAGTGAAAATATTACTCCTTGGATTTTGAAGAAAGGAATATTTGAGGAAAATTAAAAGATGTGTCTGCAAGTTCTCCTCGAATGTGAGTCTCAACAAGTCAACTGTTGTTTCTTTAAGTTATTGTTATGCTCAAAACCTAGAGTAATGGAATAAATATTTAGTATTGGACTCTATCAATTTTTAGGAAAGTTTGTGATCCTTGCGCTAAATATATGCAAGGTGCTCTGACTCATTCTGCTCGCCTTGAASAGAAACACTGGTAATCCCAGCTGCAAAGCTCTCTGCTGACCTAATTTTTCTTCAGGGCATGGACTGGACCTGAAGGTGAGKATGGAGGTTGTCTTACCCTGTTAAAAGGTAACACTCCATTGTGCTGAATGTTTGATTGCTAGGAGCTTCTTAGTGTAGGGACAAATGGCAATGACACTAGTTGAGATTCTGTTAGCACTTCCATTATAAATTCCCAGCTGAAAAAAAAGGATATATCTCCCAGTACCCAACTTAGCATAAAATGTCACAAAGTGATTCCCCCTCTCTCCTCTCCTTCTTTTTTTAGTACACAATATGGAAGGTAGGAAAAGTTGGAATACATCTAACTTCCTAAAGTTATATGAAAGAAATCTCATCCTACTGATGAAAGGGAGAAAGAAGTCATATTTTATCCAAATAATTTGATTTTTTACACAGGTTCTGCACAAAAATCATACCAAATCATTGTATAATTATTTTCACACTACAAAATCCAAACAAATAGGTCAATATGAAGACAAGAAAGATTCTACTGAATATACTTGCACATGTTGCTGTCTAATTAGCAGCCTGATTCCTACCTTCAAAGTCCAGATATGCTTCCAAAATGTCATTCTACAATTTCTTTTTGCTGTACCTATCCAGTAGCTTAGTGAAAACTCAGAAACCAAATAAAATGTGTAGTATCAGGGTGTACATGTTTGCTGCCATTACACAGTCTTRCATAAAATAGGTTGATTTATATGCTGCATTCTGTAGTCTGAAACAAATAGTCTTGCTTCACATTAAGGGTGCGTTTATAGAAGACTTGTAAGGGAYCAAAACACTTAGTCATGAATTATTGATTACCTATTTCCATATTGCCAGATACTATATCTACTGGAGGCATTTTCTCCTGGTACACCACAACCATACGTATCACACAGTCCTGATGCAATGAACATATTTAAACAAGTCAGTTTTCARAAGCACTGGAATGGCTTTGGAGTCCTGGAGGTATTTTCAATCATATGCTTGTATCAGATCTTAAAGGATATTCCATCATTGGTTTATTTTAYCTCTCACTCTTAACTGGACATTTAAGGTGGAATTCATTTCACTTAGCCTAGATTTCCACAGTGACGATGCCAATGGTTGCATTGGTTGCTTAGACCATGCCTCATAATTAAAAGAAAGAAATAGGATGTAAATCGTCATTTCTGTTCTAGATTTGTACACTAACATGGGAAGAATTTAGCTCCAAAGTGTCTTGTTCAATTAGTTAGAAGGGGAGATCAAACAATTAGCTAAGTGGTGACACCTCAAGTCAGGTGACTCTCAATTTCTGTGCTGCCAATAATTCTGATTCTAAGTCACTAGGATCAGAATTGGCCTAAACTATTTTTGAAAGCAAGGATTAGGTATCTAGATTGGTTAAACCTCATTCAGCTGTAGTTCTTCAGAAATGGAGCATCTTGAACAATTTATATAGGCTCCAATTACATTGTGTGAGAAGAGAAAGGGATTCTATCCTTAAAAGGGTATTTATCCTGCCTTAAATATGATGTCTAAGACAGGTGGGATGAATCACCCTGTGGAAGTGCTACAGTTGAAGTGGAGACAACTAACATTTGTCAGACATTTGTAACATTTGCTATATATCTAACATTTAGATATCTGTCGTTGAGATGAATCCAATTCTTGTGTATATTTAAAATATTTTACAATATCTATTACTCAGTTATTATCTTATTATCAGTGTCCCCTATTCAAGAGAGAGAACTCATCACGTGTAAAAGGGATCTGAACATGTTATAAGTAGGAAAAATATCTCCAATTATTTTTAGGGAGATACAAAATTTACAAAATTTATTATATGGGGAACTTGGCTGTATGAGCATTCATGATCCCTAATTTCAATTCCTGGCAGCAGCACGGCCTTCCTGTGGTTTTCATGTAAGTCACTTAATCTGTGCTCCTCATCAGTTCCCCATTTGTTAAGAGGAAGAATGATACTTGCTGATTTCACTGTAGTGTTGAGARGAAAAATCCATTAATAGTCATGAGGACATCAAATACTATGGTAATGAGSGGCATAAAATTACACAGAAATCACCAGCCGTCTACTGCTGCAGGAAATCAGCTTTTGAGCAAAGTGTGTCAGGCATTTATATACTACTGTAATAAAGGCCTGAGAAATACAGGTAGATAAATAATTGCCAGATTCACCAATGAACCATATATTTCAATGCTGATTTGAAAAAAAAAAAAAGATCTTTAAAAATCATGATTTACATCAAATCACCAGCACTAAGACAGCTAAAGGTACGTGTACAAGGCAGTCATAAAACATTGTGTGAGTGTGTGTGTGTGTGTGTGTGTGTGTGTGTGTGTGTGTGTGTGTGTGTGAAAATTACATTCTGCAGTAAACCTTGCCCTCAGTTTGTGAATTGTGCCACTCAACCCAAATCTATACCTCTAATGGAATAAAATTTTAAGTGAAAAAATCTCAGCTCTGCTTAATGGTATTTCTACCACATTATGAAGTTCTTTCATGCAGGCTTTGTTTATAAAGACTTGTCAGGGCTTTTATAAATGATTTTTATAAATTATAATAAATTATAGTATGACACAGACATGGAGGCTGGATAAATTTAATCATTTATTCCCTGCTCCTCATTTTCTAGATTGGGGTGGTATCCCTTTGAGTCTTAGAATGGTACCAAGAGATTCAATCTTTTGATACTCTAAATCAGGTAATATAATTGAAATCATTGGGCTGAAACAAGAATAAAGCAGGTTTAACTAAGGATCACAGTTATTTGCAGCTGCATTGAGATTCAGATATTAAGACAAACCCAAAATGGGTGCATAAAACCTCTGCAAAATGCACCTTATGAAAACAGTGCTTACTTGCCACGTTATTTAATTTGCAAGTCATGCTTCAATATGCCTTATGCTATTTTATTTTTACTTTCACACATCAGGCACGTATTCTCTTCTGCCTTTTTTTTCTCATACTTAAAATCAACTGCTCAGTAGTAGCCTCCCAGGAAACTGTGGACAGAAGTTTACTAGTAGATG